AAATATCAAGTAAGGTTGATTAATTCATTTCATAATATTTAGAACTCACGGGATGGTGATCGGAAGCCGTGAGTTCGAGTTATTTCATTTGTAATGGACTGTTTTGTGGGCTGTTTCGTGTAGCTTTTGAGCTATATATTTTGCTGCTATTTAATGGAGTTTTTGGAGGATAAATGGTGTGGAGAAACACCACATATTGGTGAAATAATGGATTAGTAATTCTTTATAATACTTTCGAGGTGTTGGACACTACTATAGTCGTTGTTTTTGGTATGAATTGATTGGGGTATGTTGGGATATTGTAAGCTAAATATAACATAGATTTCGACTTGTATCTACTGTAGGAGGTAATTATATTGTGTTCCAACAAGTTCTTAAGGTTATATTGACATCGGTTGAGTTAAATGGATGAACTAGACATGAACTAGTGAATAAAGTTGCCAATTAAGAATAATTGGAGTTGTGGATCATTTTATTTGTTATGGATATATGGTATAAGGCTGGAATTACTGATGAATGACTTCATTATCATATTAATTATACTATTAAGTTAAAATAAAAGGTTTATAAGGGATGATATGGGGTATATGAATTCCAATTGGAGCTTGTCGCTCGTTGTAAAATAGTTATGACTTGTTGTTGTTTTATGGTGTCTTGTTTTTGATAATTATGTATTGCTAGATTTCTCTGGTAATTTTTGTGGGTATATTATATTGGAGGACACTCTTGTTACAGGGGAGATGCTACCCGAATTTATATAAACAAGCTACAAGTTTAAATTGCAGATTTAGCCTTTATTCAACACTGATTTTGAATCTCCTTATGTAATGGTGGATTGAGTTGAGTTGTTTGAAGAGTAGATTGGGAGGTATTAAGGACTCACCATGGTTAAGGTATGTTAAGGCACTTTATTCTTTCTTTTGGCATGATCTAAATTGAAATGAACATAAACGATACACTATTTCATAATGAATCTACTCCTAGCAAATAAGGTTGTACATGTTGTTATTTCCGTACAAAGTTATTCTAAGAAAGTATGTATGATCCCTGAGTCCTAGTGAAGTTCATATTGATGGTATGATGTCCATAATGCTAATCAAAGGTGAAAGGACCTTACGTCACTCTGAAAGGTTTAGAACGTGATTCCATGAGTCTAGCATGCATTATATAAAATATCTATTTTGATCTACCAAGCCGCACTATAGTAGGTCGGGTACGACACCTATTGTGCAACCACTGATCAGTTGGATTTACCGAGCTTCACGTGGCCGGGTACGATTCTACCGAGCCTTTTGATGGTCGGGTAAGTTTTTATCGAGTCCTATTTGAGGCCGGGTACGATATGATGATGATGATGCCTACAGAGGCGTATGTTTTTAAAAGTTTATGTATATCTATGTATTATGCACTTCATGTCAGTAGCTCCCAGAGGCACACAGATGTTACAGGTTGTATCTCCTCTATCTCTCTTTACATTAATGTTCTTGTTTATGCTTTCCTGCCTTACATACTCAGTACTTTATTTGTACTGACGTCCCTTTTGCTTGGGGACGCTGCGTTTCATGCCTGCAGGTCCCGATTGATAGGTTGACAGTCTTCCTAGTAGGCTATCAGCTCAGCGGAGGTGTTGGTGCACTCCACTTGCTCTGGAGTTGCCTATTTGGTCAGTATGCTTTGGATATGTATTGATTGGTATGGCGGGACCTGTCCCGACCTTTATGATTTTATGTACTCTTAGAGGCTTGTAGACAGATATCAGGTTTATGGATACGTGTATGGCCTTATTGGCCTATGCATTGAGTTTACAAATGGCCTGTATGTCACATGTATAAATTTGTATATCATGTTGGATCGTCATATGTTGAGTATTCTCTTATGATTTATTCTTGTTATCTCATGACGGGTTTCTGGCTCATTTACTTAAGATAGTATAATAAGAAATATATGTTATGTTGGTACTCGGTTGAGTAAGGCATCGAGTGCCCTTCGCGGCCCTTCGGTTTGGGTCGTGACAATTTATTTGTATTCGCACATGTCTACCTCATCTCCATTACCACAACATTATTGAACTCATTAATGCAAGAAAAGAAAAAGTTAAGTGTGACTGAGTTGTGATAGATTATTACAACAACAACAACAACAACCCAGTGTAATCCCACAAGTGGGGTCTGGGGAGGGTAATATNATTATTAGGTTTCACAATATCAAATGTCACAAATTCATGTGATGAATAAATAATCGAGCCACAAAATTATTGACTAATTTGTGAAGAAAGGTCTATCACAAATAGAGATAAATATATTTTTTTAATCCGTCACAATTTTGACAAGAGGGGTTGCTCTGATGGTAAGCAACCTCCACTTTCAACCAAGAGGTTGTAAGTTCGAGTCTCCCCAAGAGCAAGGTGGGAAGTTCTTGAAGTGAAGGATGTTGGGGGTCTATTTGGAAACAGCCTCTCTACCCCAGGGTAGGGGTAAGATCCGCGTACACACTACCCTCCACATACCCCACTAAGTGGGATTATAATGGGTTGTTGTTGTTGTTGTAATCCTTCACAATTTTTTTACGTATTAAAGATTAAATTCGTCAAAAACTATAACAGACTAGGGACGGATCATAGTATCTCAAATTTTACAACAGATACAATCCATCACATTAATCCTTCAAAAGATTAATTTTCTTTGTTTATCTAAACATTCAATAAACATATACTAATAATTAATTATATTTGAATAATTTACTGAATTAATAAATAATCTATTATTAACTATTTATATTCCTGCTTTCTGCTCTCTTTCTCTCTCTCTATAAAATTAACTACATCACAAATTTTAACTAAAAGAAATAAAATGCTTGATGGATGAAACATGTAGGCTGACGTGGTTAGAATAAAGGGATGAGAGTGCATGCTTTAAATAAGTTTACTTAGTTAATTAGGCAAAATACATAACTATCCACCTAACCTATGGCCCAAATCCCTCTTACACACTTTCTGTGGACGATAATAATATTACACATGCAACCTTTCTAAAGTGTAGCTAGTACACACCACTTTTTTCTTGACCAGCTTTTCAAAATATGTGTGAGGTCACGCGCCAATAAGGCCGTGCCACGTGTCCTAACTCAAGAAAAAAAAGAAAATACTAAATTTACACCAATTGATAATATTTAAAAGAAAACAAA